GGGTGATGCTATGAGTGGGAGTAAAGTTAAAATCCGTTGGCATTCGCCAGTGAGTTAACGTAAACTCCCCCGTGTGAACAAATTGCGATTTCCAGGAACCATTACACCATAAAGGCACCATAGTGTGATTAATAAATATAATAGTGCGAATTAATAAATACCCCTCAGAGCATCACCTCGTGCATTCGCACTTAACCATGTTCACCCTCGGGGAAATGCTTGAAAGTTTTTGTTACCAATCGACTGTACTACGGCAACACAGTCCTCCCCTTGGGAAGAAGGAACGCCCTTGATCTCGACGTTAGATAGATAGATAGATAGATAGATAGATAGATAGATAGATAGATAGATAGATAGATAGATAGATAGATAGATAGATAGATAGATAGATAGATAGATAGATAGATAGATAGATAGATAGATAGATACGGTTGAACTCGCTGAAGTTTCTTTAGAAATAGCGTCACATCCCGCCTACTCCGTCAATTAAGGTGCACCGATGAATCCCGTTGAGAAGTGCGCGTTTAAACTGACATTGAAAGAAATAAAGGAGGCATTGCTTTATCTATCGGTCGCATTGGCATGGGATCTTAGGCGCAGAACCTTTTTTTTTTTGTGCACTCGCCTCATCTATCTGCACGTTGGCTGTACAAATGACCATCTGTGAGCATTGCATGCTTTGTACAGCTATTAGACGTCGTTTTCAATGTCTCTTAGTATGAGTTCCCCTTATTGATAAACACCCAAACTGTGAGGCGTGATGTACGCCCCTAATGCACCTGCATTTTACGCAATTTCTACAATGCCCGAGGTCAAGTCTGAAACATTGAAGTTTTGGAGGGTAATTCTTGCGACCATTCTGCGTTAAGCGGCGTTGCTGTTGGGGGTGTAACCATGCTAACGAGTGCGTGCCGCAAGCGTTCGACAAACCCCACTACCTCGTACAACAGGGGTGCGTGTCCAAAGAAAATAGAGTATGAAGGAGAGGTGATGTTTGGGTCAGTTGGTTCATGTTACAGGAAGAAAAGGCAAAAAAAGCACGAGGCAATACATAGAGGCAGATGCGCACACCTTAGAACTAACTCACTTTATTGAAGGAAACCATTCAGCCAATAAACTTAACAAGTAATGGTATACAATATATAATTGCACAAGCAAAGAAGTATACAGGTACAGGTAGCTCTGAGTCTGGTGACAGGCATGATCAGGGTCTTTCTCCCTAAAAAACAGAACGTCTTCAGATTTGACCACAGGAAACCCAATCTGGACAGGACGTTAGCGGATGAGTTTCACCGATGAAAAACTCCAATTCATCGCTGCTGAATGCTACGCAACGATATAGCGCTCGTACTTCTTATCCCCTTCTATGTTCAACGGTTGCTTCCTTGCTTCATATACAAAGTGCTTGCATCATGAACCCTTTTTATATACAAAGAGCTTGCATCATGAACCCTTACATCAGCACGCTTCAATACTTTGCCTCACAGAAACCTGGATAGATTCCAAACAACCCTTCAGAGTCGTAGACTACCAGTAGTCTGGCGACGCACGCAGAGGTCACAACAGAGCGGGGTTATCAGCTATCTACCTGCTTAAAAAAATGCCTGGAGCATTCATCATGTCTTTGACGTTTCACATGAATTTGATGAGCTGTGTTCTGAGATGACGGACAACCGCTTGCTCGTAGTGGCTGTCTCTTTCTTCTCACCACATACAAAAACAATATTCTGAGCTTCGTGTGGCTCGCGTTAACCGTGCATGAACTCAGACCATCGGTATTTGCCAGTCAACTCAATATATGCATAAAAAGAAACCAAGCATTCGCACCATTCATGCGCGAAAACACCCCGTTTTGTCTCTACACCATACCCCACTATTGTTACAACATCGAGAAACACTTCGATAGACCGTGCTTTTCAGATCCAGGCATTGGCTCAGCAAGTCCAACAAACAACAACCCACTTTTCTGACCACAAAGCTTCCTTCATGGTAAATAAAACACGGACAGACGAGCGTTTCGTAGAGATATATTTTTGGAAAAGAAGTGGCCCCGTATCTGCATGTAATCTGCAAATGTCGTCGAAAGACTACAGATAGCTTGCGTGTGGAGAGAGTGAACAAGAAATTTGTTTGGTGTTCTGCGCAAGTAAATCAGTGAGGGGTATTCTGGAGGCGCTGCGTTAGAATGCCTCGAGCGTGCAGCGGAAGCGAACGAGCGCATTAAGTCACGTCACACGTGAAACATGAGCGCCATCTGGCATTTTTTTTGGAAAAGAAAGCGCGTGGCCGTGTGCGCCCGTCTCAGAGGTGATGAGGTGCAGAACGTGAAGCGACGGATAGGTTCCACCACCATTTTGTCTTATCAAAGCATTGGAAACATTCCCCGTTCCGTCCAAGCGTTGCATTGGAAATGCAGCGTGATAAGCGCTACGGTCCTTAACATTACTTATGTATGCGTTTTCTAGTAAGAGATGCATATGCAGAATATATGCGTGTTGTTATGGTTCCCCAGATATGCGCAATAATTGCTTTTTAATTTACAATCGCTCAAGCACGAACGCTCAACCTTGAGCAACATTGGTGGTCGCTGCTGATAGGGACGGTCGTTTCAAGTACTCGATGCCGGTAAAAGTGGAAAAACAGACAAATTCAAAAACAGACAGACCAAATTTTTCCGTCGAAGGTCCCCAAGAAAGACTATCGTCTTTAATATTAGTAGTGTGGAAACTGTCTGCACATGCCTACATGTCTTTCCCAAGTTCCTTCTCTCAACATGTCGCAAATTATAAAGTCCTGAACAGGAGCACTCAGAATTTGCGTCAGGCAGTACTGTAATCATCGTCTTTCATTTATTTTTGCTAGTGGTGCCAGCTACTGTTGTTTTTGTATTTTGCGTGAAACAGGTGAATATGTGTTTGTGCTACCTTCATGAGCATCATTATTTTCTTTGTAAATGCCTGCACTGTTGCATCTGGTTTACAAGCAATAGCTAAGATCACTCCTAGGTATTTTTCTCATGCCAGAATAATTGCAAATATCTTTTACAAGGTGCAAGTTTTTTTGCTCTTTTCTGTAAACGTCTATTTGACGTATGCATGTGGGAGGTAGTGGCCAGATACTGCACCAGGGTGGCCAATCCTTCTCTGTTGAAGGGGTTTGTTCCCGGTGGTGTTTTGCCGGTGAGGCCGCACCCCAGGCCTCTTAATGCAGTTCCATCACCACGCGGATTTTTTTTTATCCGCGTGGTAGAATAAGAATTGGGTGGAACACATTTGGGAAACACTCTCGAGTTATGACAGGTAGATTGCCAATATCCCTCAAGAGGAAGGTATATAACAGCTGTATCTTGCAGGTGCTTAGCTACGGAGCAGAAACCTGGAGACTTACAAAGAGGGTTCAGCTTAAATTCAGGACGACGCAGCGAGTAATGGAAAGAAAAATGGTAGGTGTAACCATAAGAGACAAGAACAGAGCAGAGTGGATTAGGGAACAAACGGGGGTTAAGGATATCATAGCTGAAATCAAGAAGAATAAATGGACATGGGCCGGGCATGTAGCGCGTAGACAGGATAACTGCTGGTCATTAAGGGTAACCAACTGAATTCCTAGAGAAGGCAAGCGAATTAGGAGGAGACAGAAGGTTAGGTGGGCAGATGAGATTAAGAAGTTTGCGAATATAAATTGGCAGCAGCAAGCACAGGACCAGGTTAACTGGCGGAACATGGGAGAGGCCTTTGTCCTGCTGTGGACGTAGTCAGGCTGATGATGATGATGATGTAAACTTGTATACGTTGTAGGGAAAAAGGGAGGCTCTAGGAGCCTCTGAAGAGCACTGCCCTACGATCGCCCAGCATTTTCTGAACGCTGAAAGATTAAAGAGTTTCATAAGCTCTATGAACGTAATTATTTTAAGAGTCGAGTGCGTGCTAATGTTCACAAGTTTGTCGTGCTGCTTTCTACGTTTTACCAACTATGACGTTGCCGCATCTGCCCAAACTGTTCATCGGTGCCACAGCACGCTCCCAAAATGTACCACGAAACACACGACACGCGAACAATGATCGTGTGTGCATAAAAACAAACCATTCATGCGTCAAGAAATAAAGCCATTAGACGTCGGGGTGTGATGAAGAAAACAGTGTTTTCGCGATGTCATCGTCGCGAGTCTGACATCGCCCACGAGAGTGCTGTCACACTTTGGAGGACCTGGTCCACAGGGCCTCCAAAGAGAATGGAATGAAAAAACTTTATTTGCCTCCGAAGAGAACAAAGTTTGGTATGAACAAAGTATGGCATGCAAAGAGAACAAATATGGTAAGAACAAAAAATGATACGCAAAGAGTGTCTTATCAGCTAGCATTACAATTAAAAAACACTCCATTTTGCTGGCATTTGATTTGCAAACATATAACTTGCACAGTCCCGCAATTTCTTTATTATTTCTAACTGTAGAAGCACATCATTACCATTTACCCCCTTGAGTGTATAACGCCATGCGTTTCCATGTTCTGTGCCTCTTTTCTTTTCAGTTCGCACTTAATGTTTGCTTTCTTCCATATTTGCACAAAGCTTTTGCAAACATGCTCAATCATTTCTTTTGTTATATCAAGTGTATACAACCTGTACTGTCTCCATTTAAATGTCCGAATTATATCTGTGTTCATATATTTATGTAAAAAAGTGAGTTACTGCAGCCACTTCATGTATTCTGCCACCACCACTACCTCTTCCTGATGTAAATGGGGGTGGGTACTTATAGTGAAGCGGCCTGTCGCTTTTTCCCCACTCCCTCCATTAAAACTGTATTCGTGGAGATAAACTATTATTATTATTATTATTATTATTATTATTATTATTATTATTATTATTATTATTATTATTATTATTATTATTATTATTATTATCAACGCTTGTCATGATTTACCTATTTGGGACTTTTTATAAGGTTTTAGCTGCGGAATTATAACCACTGCTTATGGTATTCAAAAACTTTTACTCACTTTGCACCTGGCTGTTGCCTTCTACTTTTCTCCCTAGATGAAAAACGGAAAAGCAAAGAAAACACTGAATGAAATGAGGAAGCTTACGCTTTCTGAAAATATTCAAAATTTGTGGTTTCGGCAACATATTCACCCTACCTGACACTACGCACGTATCATTCGGCGCAATGACAATGCAAAAAAAGAAGTTATGCATACGTTGTTGGACTTAAATCTCATAGTTGTGCTGTGTGGTGAAGCTAAATTCTGTTATTGCCTGTGGAATGTCTGCCCCTATAAGATATGCACGAGTTGCGGCATTGTAATTGTTCGCAAAATATTTGTCCTTTTGAGTACATGAATTTAATTCATAAAGTATGGATAACGTAACGATGTAGTTGTAGGTTCTTTATTGTGGCACAATTTTTAACACCTATGGGATCACTAGTTGTCACTGTTTTATATGCACATTATATTCAGACGTTAAGCGTTTTTTTTATCAACCTGATAAATACGATTAGGCTAAGTAATGTCTGAATATGAAACACGTCATACTGATTCTGCTGAAACAATGCCAACCAAGTAGTTCAGGAGTCAATGACGCAAACATTTTGCCAGCACACAGTGACAAAGCCGAAAAAATAGCATTATGACTCATATTGCAGCTTAATTTTCGCAATGCACAGGCCAAGTGAAAATATGGATTATATAACGTGGAGTAGTATGATTTGTTAGTAGAACATTGAGAAAGTTTCAAAGGAGTACTTCTTGTGTCATGCGAGCACAAAATGAACACCATATGAGTAACTATCAGAACCCAAACACAACGCCCTTATAATGTCATGTAGGCCATCGACTGCATTTTAATTCTGCCCTTTGGAACTAAGAGGCGATTCATTATAACTGCCGTTTGATGGTCGTAGGGGTGAGATACTGTTTTACAAAATAAGCACTATTGATCCTTTTTGACATTCTATACTGAAATGTTACTAAAACACTGCCAAGCAGTTGTATCGCATACATTATTCGTGGCAGAAAAGCCCTCAGTAGATTCTCGTACTAACGCGCTATGCAGTGAAGGTGAGGCAAAGGCAAGCTTTGCGTTACCTTGTGGATGTTAGGTTAACAAATGTTTTTTCACCATCAATACAATGTGTACTTTTTCAAACTTTCTGCATATTTTACTGACACATTCTGCTATGCAACAATATAAAAGCCATGTTTTTACTTGGAAGGCTACATTGCGAAAAATAGGCCTAATTCCGAACCAAAAAATTGGCAGCATATCCACGGAGTCAATGATGGAGAGTGGGGCGAAGCATTCGTCCGTCCATTCGTTCTTGCTTCCGTCCGTCCATGCGTCCGCCTGTGTGGCCATACATGCGTACATCCGCCCATCCGTGCATGCGTCTGTTCGTGCGTCTGTTCGGCGGTGCTTCTATATGCGGAATATATGATGAAAATATGCGAGATGGTGGTACTTGGAGCGTTGACTAGAATGACGAGCGGACGCACAGACAGTTGCATGGACGGACGCATGGATGGCTGCACGGATGGATGGACGCATAGACGGATGCAGGGATGAGTGCACGGATGAACGTGTGGACGCACTCACGGACGGGCGGATGGACGCACGGACGGTCACACAAGCGGACGCATGGACGGACGGAAGCAAGAACGAATGGACGAACGGATGCTTCGTCCCACTCTCCATCGTTCACCCCGTGAATATGCTGCCATTTTTTATTGTTCAACAACGCACAGGAGAAATTTCCCACCGGCACCACCTTGCAGGTCAAAGCGTAAGACTGTTTACATACTACGATGGGACGCGGGACGAACGGGTGCTGCTATAAGGAGCTTCGCCCCTAAAAAGTCACAGCTTTGCCGAAAAGGTCTCCCCGGGGATGCGTTCTACTGGTGAAGGGGATAACCGGGAAATTCTTACAACATATAACGAGCTCACTAAACATTTCTACCTGTCTAGAAGGATTTTCCCTCCACCTCACAAAAATCCACCCCGGCCCCAAGCACTTACATTAAGGCTTTTGCAAACGCAGATGTACCCTACTTTGAAAATGTTACACATCATGTACCCTGACCTATACCCAAGTAATCTTTGTCCACGTTTTGGGGAAATAGCTTCATTAGAACACATGCTCTGGCAGTGCACCAAATCGCTCATTTATCGCACATCACCTCTGCCAGATGGGAGGCGGCAATCCGCAGCTCGTCCTTGGCAGATCAGCTTTGGGCTGTCCACCAAGCCCGCGAGGCGGCTGAGGAGCTTGGCATCTCAGTCCCCACGTGGGAGCTGCCCGCAACACAGTGATCTGTGTTTTGGAGGACCAAATAAAAGTTTATCCAATCCAATCCAATGCCGCGAAGGCGAAGCAGTGAACGCTATAGCAACAAATTGGAATGTCACGCGCAGAACGGCAAGCAGATATAAATGTGTCGCGTGCTTACGCACAAATGACGCATGAAACGTACTCATAAGTACAGATGAAAGCAAATAAGCGTCTCAGTTGTTGCTTTGCTGTGTCTGAAAAGCAAACCCTTTGCCCCGCTGCGGTGGTCTAGTGGCTAAGGTACTCGGATGCTGACCCACAGGTCGCGGAATCGAATCCCGGCTGCGGCGGCTGCAATTCCGATTGAGGCGGAAATCTTGTGGGCCTTTGTGCTCAGATTTGGATGCACGTTAGAGAACCCCAGGTGTTCGAAAATTCCGGAGCCTTCCATTACGTCGTCTCTCATAACCAAATGGTGGTTTTGGGACTTTAAACCCCGCATGGTCGGAATTGAGATGGTCGGAAATAGACCGTGTTCACTTGACCCATATGTATTCACTGGTGCTTCAAGAAATGTGTCCAATATTGCTTAAAAATTAGCAAAAGATGCTATTTGATCGCAGTTTCACAGTTGGTTTTTGTATAGTGGCCAAACCAAAGAACCAAGGAGCGCAACAAGCAGATGACAACAGTGATGTCACTGTTAAAAAAAAGTGGTTACATGGATGCAGTTTTTCCTCATTTGTTAACGTATGTGCGTCATGCGAGCGTAGTTCACACACCCCCGCAGCGAAGTCGGTTGATGTTTGATGTAACAACACGCCCTCATTTCAGTAACGCTCTTTTGTGTTTCAGTTGCGGTTTTGTTGCAGAAAAGAGAACAATTTCATTAATTCGCAGTAATTATAACAGGCTGCTTTTTCAAAACCTCGAGGCAGGAATCGGAGCATGGCACGTAAGACTTTAACTCTTCCTTTCAACTCACCTGTCTAAACAGAATAATCGAAAAATTTATTTCCATCCTTTCAAATTACTGTTCCTTATAAAACTTCAACTCTCTTAAGATGCCTGCCGCTGCGGAAAAGGCGTGTTTTGCTGATTTTTAAACAAAATATTGAACATATTTGTTAAAACAGCATATATATATATATATATATATATATATATATATATATATATATATATAATGGAAAGAAGTGTATACCTAAGGGCTCGTTTTTTCGTGTTTCAACACTATATTAATGAGATCTAACAAACAGTCGTGCCAAGGAATGTACAGGGGAAGTTATTAGAACCCATGGAATGTAAATAAGAAAAAAGAAAAGTGGATAAAAAAATAACCATCCGTGAGCATGAATCAAACCTACGACCGTCGAATAACGCATTGGATGCTCTAACCACTGAGCTACCACAGCGGCTTTCCCTTCATCCACTTTTTTGGGTTTATATGTGAGTTTAGAAGTAGGAGTGACAGTCAGCGACATCTATAAGCCAAGCGACGAGTGTGAAAACACTCTTTTATGCGCATGTTTGGCGTCACGTAGCCTGTGAACTTATTATGAGCGGGCAGCTGATTAATAGTCTCTCGTATACAACCTAATGACACCAAGTCTGCCAGTACGAGGCCCTCGTTTTTATTGAAATAAGGGAAAGAAGTGTATACCAAAGGGCTCGTTTTTTCGTGTTTTAACATGCGTCTCTCATAATCATATAGTGGTTTTGGGACGTTAAACCCCACATATCAATCAATCATCGTGTTTTAACATAATAATAATGAGATCTAACAGATAGTAATGCCAAGGAATGTACAGGGGAAGTTACTAGAGCGAATGGAATGTAAATAAGAAGAAAGAAAAGTGGATGAAAAAATAACCAGCCGTGAGCAGGAATCGAAACCACGACCTTCGAATGACTTTTCTTTTTTCTCATTTACATTCCATTGGTTCTAATAACTTCCCCTGTACATTCCTTGGCATTACTGTCTGTTAGATGTAATATATATATATATATATATATATATATATATATATATTATATATATATATATATATATATATATATATATATATATAGGAAAGAAACGTAAACCTAAGGGCTCGTTTTTCCGTGTTTTGGACACAATAATAGTGAGATTTAACAGACAATAATGCCAAGGAATGTATAGGGCAAGTTATTGAAACAAATGGAGTGTAAATAAGAAGAAGTCAGTTAGCGCCATCTGTAAGCCAAGCGGCGAGTGTGAAACACACTTTTATGCGCATGTGTGGCGTCACGTAGCACGTGAACTTATACGAGCGGACAACTGACCAATAGTCCCTCGTATACAACCTAATGACACCAAGTCTTCCAGTACGAGACCCTCGTTAATGAATGAGGGAATAAAGTGTAAACCTAAGGGATCGTTTTTCTGTGTTTTTGACACAATAATAATGAGATATAACCGACAATAATGCCAAGGAATATATAGGGGCAGTTATTAGAACAAATGGAATGTAAATAGAAAAAAGAAAAGTGGGTGAAGAAATAACCAGCCGTGAGCAGGAATTGAACATACGACCTTCGAATAACGCGTTCGATGGTCTAATCACTGAGCTATCACTGTGGCCTTCCATCCATTCACTTTTTTTGGGTTTATATGTGAATTTAGTAGTGGGAGTGCCAGTTAGCGCCATCTGTAAGCCAAGCGGCGAGTGTGAAACACCCTTTTATGCGCATGTGTGGCGTCACGAAGCGCTAAAACTTAATACGAGCGGACAGCTGACC